TCTGGAGACAACAGATGCTGGAGAGGATGTGGAGAAATAGGAACACTTTTACATTGTTGATGGGAGTGTAAATTAGTTCAATCATTGTGGAAGACAGTGTGGCAATTCTCCAAGGATCTAGAAATAGAACTACCATTTGACCCAGCAATCCCATTACCGGGTATATACCTAAAGGATTATAAATCATTCTATTATAGAGACACATGCACACGTATGTTCATTGTGGCACTGTTTGCAATAGCAAAGACTTGGAACCAACCCAAATGCCCATCAATGATAGACTGGACAAAGAAAATGTGACACATATACACCATGGAATACTATGCAGCCATAAAAATGGATGAGTTCATGTCTTTTGTAGGGACATGGATAAAGCTGGAAACTATCATTCTCACCAAACTGACACAGAACAGAAATACAAACACTGCATGTTCTCTCACTCATAGGCGGATGTTGAACAATGAGAACACATGGGCATAAGGATGGGAACATCATACACTGGGGTATGTTGGGGGGTGGGGGGCTGGGGAAGTACAGTGGGTGGTGGGGTGGTTGAGGAGGGATAACACTGGGAGAAATGCCTGATGTAGGTGTTGGGGGATGGAGACAGCAAAACACCATGGTATGTGTATACCTATGCAACAATCCTGCAAGATCTGCACATGTACCCCAGAACTTAAAGTACAATAAAAAAAAAAGAAAGAAAATTTATCTTAGGAATATGTAAATCATCTCCACATTTGCTCCATTCTTAGATGATAGATACCATTGAAAGATTTCACTGAAGAGATGACTTTTCCAAATAAATTAGGGATTAGGGCATTGGGGTGGTGGGAGAGAAGAAAGGGCACTGTTGATTGGAAGACCATTCCAGGCACAGGACAGGGAGTCTGGAGAATGGAAAGAGCACATCCAGGATCTATAGTTGTGGAAACATCAGACAGGGATAGGAGGAGAACATCAGAAAATAAGATCCAAAACCATGATTCTATGGCTTTTTGAATCAATTAAGGCAGAATTATATTATTTGGACACATTTTCTTTTATCAGTTCCCTTTCCATGCATTTCTTTTTTTTGCTGGCATCAGCATGAACAGGAGTAATCATCCTACATTCTTTGCTTTACTGTCACTAGAGTTTAAAATGTAGAGGAATAGTTTCTCCCTAACATTTCTAGTTAAATCCTTATTCCAGAACTAGAGTTTTTAGAATTCCCAGAGAAGAATCCTGGACTTATGGTTAGACTGCTGTGGTTCAAATTCTGTTTGTGCCACTTCTTGGCTTTATGATACCTAATGAGGAATTCACTTCTCAGAGCTTTCTTTTTTTCATTCCTGAAACATGATGATTATAGATCAAATGGCTCTTCTTAAATAGCTAATGGTCATGGACTACTTTGTTTATAATAAAGCAGAATACCAGCTATTAATAATTATCTTAATTAGTAATTTGATATAGGCAAAGAAGTTCCTACTTTCCTCTGTAACAGTTATTTTGTGATTGTAAACTCCATCACAGCATGCCAGAAGTCATCTATTCGGAAGTGATCCACCAAAATTGTCCCACAAACTTGTTAATCTTGTATCCTTAAGGAGAGAGAAGTTTTCTGACACTGCAGTCTGCTTCTCATTGCTTTACCACTATTATGCTCTATTTCTATTTAAGAGAACCCCAGTTGTATCTTACAAAGATTGATTGTAGGCTATAGATGTAGCCTACAGATCTGGTCATAGTGTAATCATTACTGAGAGTCGGGAATACTGATAGTGATAGAAATATTGCACATCTGTATGTTTACACTGGTTCTTTTATGTTTTTCAGATTGCACTCCATCACATTGCCACTGTGGAGAAGTTACCCATCACTAGTCTGGGCTGTCCCCTAACACTCCGCTGCAAGAACTTCCGGGTGGCCCATTTTGTCTTAGACTCTGACCTTGTGTGCCATGAGGTTTATATTTCACTACTCAAGCTTTCTCAGCCAGGTAGCTATGATAGTATTTTTATCTAAAACCATTTTAGTATTTTTCCAAAATGGCATAATGGAAAGATCAGGGCTATGGAGTTAGAGCAGGGTTTGGATCTGGGCTCTACCACTTACTAGCTCCATGATATTTGGGAAAGTTATAGAACCTCTGAACTCATTTTCTTTACCTGTAAAAGTAAGGAGAGTAAAAGCTCTCCAAGGGGGTTGTTTTGAGCCTTGAATACCTTCATGTATTAGTATATAGTAAATGTTTAATAGATATTTTCTTCTTTCTCCCTCCCTACTTTTAAGTATCAACTTGTGAATTTTTCCTCAGTTCAGGAAGAAAGACTGCTTTGGAACAAAATTTGTTTCCTGTTGTCCTGCAGGCTGTTTGACCCACAATTTCCGCCCCTACTTTCAATTGCAACTAGAAGACTGAGGCAGTTCATCAGAGTCCTCATTAATATAGAACTTAATGCTTCCTCCAGCCTCACCCTTTAATTCTCCAGCCTACAACCTTAAGCTATTAACCATCAGCTTCCTCTGATTTTAGTCTTTGATTTTAATCAGGCTCTTACATTTTCTCTCCCATTTTTCCCCCTTTGCCCAGAATAATTCCTCAATATTTGCTGATTTTTATTGACAAAATTACCTGCTGGATGGCCCAGCATTTTATAAGTCTCTGATAGGCTCCATTCATCTCTGGAGAAGTGGTTGCCACATAAATCGGTCAAATGAGTTATTTGATTGCGTGCTGTATCTTGTGAAGGGAGGAAGCAGGACTGACAGAGAAAAGAGAGGAAGTGGCCATTTGTAAGTCAGAAGTTGCTGTTGGCCTGACAAGTAGAATACAAAAACACTGTTAAAGTTGTGTAACATGTTACAATAAGCAGTACTTTTGGGACATGGGGGCCCAGTTAAAAACTTTTGGTAAGGACTCCTTCCCTAACATGTGAAACCCTGAAGCGTCAGTTCAGTCAACTATCCAGCATTCTTTGTAATAGGAAGCCAGGCAGAAAGATCCCACTTTGTGTTGATACCACAAAAAATTAAAACTTTTTTTTAAAAGAAGAACCCAAACAATACTCCAGGTTTTAATTCCTTACATAAAGGCAAACTTGCATACACCACAGTCCTTTTCTGGGACTGTCTGACAAAACATTCCCTTTGGGAAAAGGAAATCTAGCCTTTATTTGCATTGTTTGATGATCTTTAGGTTTCATTCATCATTTTGTTCCCCATGCCTACCTCTCTTCTCCAGCATTACCTGAAGATCTTTATGCTTTTTCTTACAATCCCAAATTCTCAAAAGAGATGAGGGAAAGTGGATGGAGACTGATTGACCCAATATCAGACTTTGGGCGTATGGGAATACCCAACAGATACTGGACTATAACAGATGCCAACAGAAACTATGAGGTAATTTTGTCCTTGTTGTTTTCCTTTTGGTGCATTTAATTAAAATGGCAGAATATCAGAAAACAAGATTTTGAAAAAAGAGAACTTACTCATAATCTCTTTCTCCTTTTCATTCAACATTCGGCCATTCAACAAACATTTATTGAGTATCTACTGTGCAGTAGGCACTGAGTAAGAGATTTCATGGCCTAAAACATAGGGTTCTATGGGAGCATAGGTGCAGGACAAGAAAATCAGTCTAGGAAGCCAGAAATAGCCTGATGCTTTGGAGAATAACCTTGTGAAGACTAATTTACTTTTAGCATTTTAAAAATTGTTAATTATTATGAATACATAATAGTTGTACATATTTATAGGGTACATGTGATTTTTTATACAAGCATACAATATGTAATGATCAGATCAGGGTAATTGAGGTATTCGTCACCACAAGCATTTATCATTTGTGTTAGGAGCATTCCAATTCCATTTTCAGTTATTTTATTATTATTATCTCTAGTCATCCTGTTGTGCTACTGAATACTAGATCTTATTTCCATTTATCTAAATGTATTTTTGTACCTGTTGAGGATCTTCTCTTTACCCCCCAACTCTACTACCCTTACCAACCTTTGATAACCATCATTCTGCTGTCTCTATGAGTTCTTTTTTTTTTTTTAAGCTCCTACAACATGTGAGTGAGATTATGCAATATTTGTTGTTCCAAATGATAGGATTACATTTTTTTTATGGATGAATAATATTCCATTGTGCATATAGACCACATTTTCCTTTTCTTTCCTTTTTGTTTTTTTGAGACAAGGCCTTGCTCTGTTGCCCAGGGTAGAGTGTAGTGGCATGATCACAACTCACTGTAGCCTCGATCTCCTGGGCTCAAGTGGTCTTCCCATCTCAGCCTCTCATGTAGATGGGAGCACAAGCACCCACCACCATGCCTGGTGAATTTGTTTCATTTTTTTATAGAGATGGCAGTCTTGAACTCCCAGGCTCAAGCAATCCTCCCTCCTTGGCCTCTCAAAGTGCTGGGATTATAGGAATGAACCCCTACTCCCCGTCAATAGTGGCTGTACTAATTTACATTCCTACCAATTGTGTATGAAAATTCCCTTTTCTCCACAACCTCACTAGTATCCATTATTGCCTTTTTGATAAAAGCCATTTAACAGGTGAGATGATACCTCATTGTAGTTTTGGTTTGCATCTCTCTGATGATTATTGATGTTGAGCATTTTCTCATATACTTGTTGGTGTTCTTTTGAGAACTATCTATTTAGATCTTTTGTCTATATTTAATTGAATTATTTGTTTTTATTCTATTGAGTTGCTTGGGCTCCTTATGTTTTCTGGTTGTTAATCCATTGTCAGATGGGTAATCTGCAGATATTTTCTCTTATTCTGTAGGTTGTCTTTTCACATTGTTGGTTGTTTCCTGTGTCATGGAGAGTTTTAGCTCAGTGTTATCCCATTTGTCCATTTTTTCTTTGGTTGATTGCATGTGCTTTTGAGGTCTTACTTGAGAAGTCTTTGCTCAGACCAACATTCTGAAGTGTTTCTCCATTGTTTCTTCTGCATATGGATGTCCAGTTTTCCCAGAACCATTTATTGAAGAGAATCCTTCCCCCAAATATTTGTTCTTGGTGCCTTTGTTGAAAATGACTGAACTGTAAACGTATGGATTATTTTTGAGTTTCTCTCCTAATTTATACAGGAGGAGAGGGAAAGAGGTCAGGAAGTGAGGCCTTATCATGAAGACAGTTGAGAGCCACAAGAGTATTTACACTTGGAAGTAACATATGTATATTTGTCTTTTAGAAAGATAACTGTTAATAGTGTGGAGAATTGGTTTGCTGGAGCTAAGAATGCAGGAGAATGATATGTGAAGTTATGAGAACTTGAACTAAGGTAATGGCTGCAAATGGAGAGAAGGAGATGGTTTTAAAATATATTTAGGTGGTAGAGTTGAAAGCAACTGGTGACAGATCAAATGTGCCTAGAAAAGTAGAGGAGTTTACTATGCATCCCAGCTTTCCTGGTTTCTGGCATTGATGACCAATGAGTAGTAGTGATGTTGACAAAGATAAGGACCACAAGAAGAGGAACAGATGGTATCTTCAATTTTACACTTGACTTCAAAGTGATTAAACAGATAACAAGAATTTGATTTCAAGCATTTGGGTCTGGATCTCAAGAAACAGCTTTGGGCCAAATGTGGACCTCTAAGAATGTGTTAGAGGTTCCAAAGACTGTTCCTCAGGTTTTGTGATTTACTAGGAAAATTCATAGGACTCAGCGTATAGTCATATTTATGATTATGATTTATTATAGTGAAAGGATATAAAGCAAAAATCAGCAAAGGGAAAAGGTTCAGGGGACAAAGTCGAGAAAACCAGGAACAAGCTTCCAGAGTCCTCTCTCACTAGGACACACTGAATTCCTCCAGCAACAAATCGTAACAACACTTATGAAATGTTGTCTACCAGGAAGCTCATTAGAGACAAAGTGCTCAGGGCTGCTATTGGGGCCTGCCCACATAGGCATGTTCTGCCTAGTATATGCCAGAATTCCAGATCCCCAGAAGGAAAGCAGGTATGCAGGATAAGCCACATTGTTTGCACAAACAGTTTAAGCACAATTCAAGTAGGCTATTCTAAGGGTAGTGAGATGGTTAATATTGTCAACTTGATTGGACTGAAGTATTGTTTCTGGGTGTGTCTGTGATGATATTACTAGAGGGGAGATTAACACTTGAGTCAATGGACTGGGAGAGGCAGAGCCACCCTTAATCTGGGCGGACACCATCCCCTTGGCTGCTAGCGCAGCTAGAAAAAGCAGGCAGAAGAAAGTGGAATGAGCAGACTTGCTGAATCTTCCGATCTTCATCTTTCCCCCGTGCTAAATGCTTCCTCCCCTCGAACATCAGACTTCAAGTACTTCGGCTTTTATATTCTTGGACTTACACTAGTTAGTGGCTTGCCAGGGGCTCTTGGGCCTTCGGCCACAAACTGAAGGCTTCACTATCGGCTTCCCTACTTTTGAGGTTTTGGGACTCCAACTGATCCACTACTGTCTTTCTTGCTCCTCAACTTGCAGACAGCCTATCGTGGGACTTTACCTTGTGATCCTGTGAGTCAATTCTACTTAATAAACTCCCTTT